TGAGGGTAAGTTTTTCTTTATTGAATATTCCAGAAAATAAAGAATTAATGATCAAATTCAAAAATTACTACTTTGCAACCCCTAAACAATGACCTAAGCAATGATCATCAAGGGTCCCATAAAAATTATAAAGAGAGACAACCAAATATTATATATCTCCTGACTGAATTACATAGCACTACCAATCAAGTATTCTTGACAAAAAAAAAAATCAAACTTGAATCAGATCAAACCTATAGCTCTAACTAACAGTTGACAGGAAATTGAAATGCAGAGGCACTCGTTAAAAGCCACCATGGGGATAGAGTCAGAAATATCTCAGCTGTGGAAAACTCCAAAGGAAAAGTGACTCAATTCCATAAACAAATAAATTACAAGGGAAACAAGGAGAGGGTGAGGGATTTTCCATTAAAAGAGACTTTTAAAACATAACAAAAGGCTGTGTGTACCCATTTTGCAGGTCCTGATTGAACCGACAATACATAAACAAATAATATATTAGATGATGGAGGAAATTTATATACTTAACTGAATAGTTGATGATATTAAGGAATTATTGCTAATATTTTTAGGTGTGATAATGGTGCTGAAGTTCTATTTTAAAGAGTGTTTATATCTTAGAGATGCATACTGAAATAAATACTTGTAGGTAAAATAATATGCTGGGATTGGCTTGAAAATAATCAGAAGAAAGGGCAGAAAAATAATCAGAAAAAAGGATTATAGATAAGATAAATCATGAGTTAACAATTGTTGAATCTAGGTAATATGCACATGGAAGTTTGTTCCAGTATTCTCTTTACTCTCTAAGTTTGAAATTTTTCATAATGAAAAGTTAAAGAAAAAATTCTGTTTAAATGTAAATACCTCTTCTATGTCAACTGTCTATGGAATATGCCTCAATTAAAAAAAAAACTCTCATCCTTCACTTTTCCAACTTCCCAACTATTTAGCATTTACTTTTATACATTTTTCTGGATTTACTAATACGTGTCCATAAGTGTCTATTCTTGTATTTAAGTATTAGCATTTGTTCTTTCTCTCTCCCATTTTATCATAAATTCTGTGAAGACAGAAATTATGTCTTTTAGTGCTTTTCTAAATATCCCCAAAGGCTCATCCAGTGTTTAATTGGTCATGGTTTAATGACATATTTAATGATCACTGGTTATGTCTGCACAATGCTAGGCTATGTACAATGTCAATACTTTCAACTGTCAATAAACCTGTGATTTGAAACAGGAAACTTGTTTTGTGTTACTATTCTAGATTTACTTTAATGAACTCAAAATAAGTCTGAAATTGTTATATTTTTATTATTTAGGAACCAACTTTGATCCAGCAGAATGGGGGACTAAGGTAGACGACCGCTTTTATAACAACCATGCATTCAAGGTATGGTTCTGTGAAGCTACTAGATATGGCTATTTCTTCTCCCAGCCTCCAAAATTCAGATTATTGGGATCTCCCCAGAACTGTGAGAACTTTGTGAGGCATCACAAATAACTTATTAAACCTTTTT